TTGCAAGTGCCGTAAAACTCTTACTAAAACTGAACATCTCGGTGGGGGTTTTGTTGTTTACATTTTACATTGTCTTACTTCGCCTATAGCTTGTTCACCTTTGTCTGACAGCATTTACAAAATCTAGCTTTTGGAGATGGTCATTAAACTGGGAGGTCTTGCCTCTTAAATAACCTAATAGTGTTGATAGGGGCGACGGGCGTTAGTTAGACCTATACCGTTTCTACAGCTTTTTTTTTCTTCTCTCTCCCCCCCACAGGGCTACACGATGTGGCACACGCTGGACAAGTGGTCAAGCCTCAGCTTCCTCAGTCATTGGGTGGCCCTGGGAACGCTCGTCTTCTATTGGTTGATATGAGGCCGCAGTTTGGATGTTTTTACGCCGGTCAATGCTTTATTTTTTTTCAATTTTTCGTCGTTGTTCTATGCCTGTTTTCTTTTTTTAAGGATAAAAGGATCTGTAGTGGTATTTATTGTTCTCAGGGGATAGCAGTTGTGCCTATGATCTGATGGCCAGTGTTGGAGCCGAGTTGCCAGACATCGACAGTTCGCGACCTAAGTGCTTTCTTGTCGTTTCTCCATTTTTAATTACGGTGAAAACAGTTCTTGACAAAGAGTGAGCTTACGAAGAAGTCACATTTTCAGTGTTTAAAAAAATGGAGATACGACAAGAAAGCACTGAGGTTGTGAGTTGAGTCTGGAGCACGGTGTGAGGATGTGATTCTCATTAAGTTTTGTACTCGTGGCGGTAGAAATTTTCATTTATTTATAACACGTTTTATTAGAAGTTTTTCTTCTAACATGGTTTGAATGCGGAGTTGGGGAGGGGGGGGGGGGGGTGGAATTGGGAGGGGGAATATCTCTAACTTCTGATGATATTCTCTCCCTTACCATCTTTCAAGGTGTATATGCATGTATTTATTTAAATGTGTGCATTTCATGAATGGTTTTGTTACAAAATATTTCTCTCCTATATTTCAACTTCTTGCTCTTCCCTTTATGTGAGGGAATTATTATCTTTTCTGCTTTCAAAGATATTTTATCACAAAACAAGCTGCAAGCAATGATTTTATATTGTTACAATTCAGCTTTCTTTTTAGACTGTGAATAAAATGTTATGTTTTTTTTCCCCAATTTAAAAAAAACTTTATTGACCTAAAGCATTTTGTTACAAAGCCTTCATATGTATGCGTATTTCTGAAAGCGGGGTACAGATCTATTGAATTCCTTTTATATATTACCCCTTCAATGAAGATGATCAAAATCATGATAATATTTAATATGCGTCTACCAGAATTCTCCGTAATGAAATGGTTGTTTTGTCCATGTCAGTCAATGCGAAAACGAAAGAATGCGTACTTAATTATGATAAAATGGTGTCCTGTGTAATAATATAAAAAAGTATTCTGGGTGTTTGGTGGGTGCTTTGGTGTGGTTTGCTCCTTCTTTGCTCTCAAACATCTATGGTCTTTATCTCCCCTCTTTCTTTTTTGTGTTTGTTATTGTTACTCTTTTGTAACACCTCTAATCTTCAGCACTTATTCGACCTAATTGTGTTGCAAGTGCCGTAAAACTCATACTGCGAGTGTTTGGCGGGTGCTCGGGTGTGGTTTGCTCCTTCTTTGCTATCAAACATCTATGGTCTTTATCTCCCCTCTTTCTTTTTTGTGTTTGTTATTGTTACTCTTTTGTAACACCTCTAATCTTCAGCACTTATTCGACCTAATTGTGTTGCAAGTGCCGTAAAACTCATACTGCGAGTGTTTGGCGGGTGCTCGGGTGTGGTTTGCTCCTTCCGTCCTATCATTCTGTCCTATCAAACAACTATGGTCTCTATTTCCCCGCCTTGATTTTGTGTTTGTTACTCTCTTGTAACACCTCTAATTTTCAGCACTTGTATGACCTAATTGTGATGCAAGTGCAGTAAAACTCTTACTAAAAAAACAACACTGAAAAAATAATGCATACTTATTTATGGAAAAAATAATGCATACTTATTTATGGTAGAAATGGTGCCCTGTGTTCAGTGTGCTATGAAAAAGGCTGTGCTCATCCTGTGCTTGTGGGTGGTTGGCAGGTGCTCTGATGTGATTTGCTCCCTTCTTTCCTATAAAAAACTATCGTCTTTCTCTCTCCTCCTCCTTTTTTGCGTTTGTTACTCTCTTGTAACACCTCTAATCTTCGGCACTTATATATGACCTTATTGTGTTGCAAGTGCCGTAAAACTCTTACTAAAACTGAACATCTCGTGCTTGGCTTAGATATAATATTGTGTCAAACAAAGAAAATGGAAAGTTGGAAAGAGAACCTGATGTAGGGTGAATTTTTATTTTCTTTTCATTAAGAAAATTTTATGTGATTTGAAATTTTTAAAAAAGATTGTTGCTGAAATAGATAAGCATAATTTCAAACACAGCCTACCTCTGCCCCTACCCAAATTTCAGTAGCTCTCTACTCAATCTTTCAGACATTCTGCAACTACTAATAATCATAATCCTTCATCAACTCACAAATTTCAAAGCTGAAGACATTAATCAAAATTATAAATAGTGATGCAACAGTAGCTTTTTAAAGGTTTGTTGGACTGTCAATTTACTTTTGTTTTGTACATTTTTCTGTGTACTTTTTGTTCCGTGTAGTATTATGAGATTTATTTATCAATTTTTCGTTGTGATGGACTAATTGCTTGTTTGTAGTTTTCTACTGCAATGTTGAATGTTTCTGAAAAGCATTTTACTGGGTTTTTTTGGTGAATAGTTATAATGAGTGGAGGTTATTTGTTGTTGTGATATTGAAAGGATTCTCATCAAAATCCTGAAAAGTCGTACACTACATTGTCATTTCCGTGTGATGTGATTTGAACTGTAACATTTTTTATATTCTGATCAGTATTCAAAGAAACAAATGTGAGGCAGCGTGGTGGAATCAGGCTCTCATCAATTTTTTGGCATGTAGAGTTATTGGTATCATCTTAAAGCTTGTTCACTTGTCTTTCTTTGGATGAACAAAATATCCATTTATCTTGAATACAAGTCGAGATATTTGAGAATAAAGGTCGGGTTCACCTGTTTTCAGAGGTAAAATAAGTGAGAAAATGGCCGCCAAAGATTAGTTATTTCCTTAGCTGAAGAGTCTGTGGTAACTGAAAATTTACATTTTTTGGGCCTTTAATCAACGGTTTTCACAAAAATTCACACAGAAATGAGTTCTTTAATGGGCCTGAAAGGTGTTGAGCCCAAAAACTAAAATGTGATAAAAATTCACAAACCTGCGGAAAAATGCAAGTTTCTTCACTTTGATTATTTTGGCGAGAGCCTGATTCCACCACGCTGCCTCACAAATGATTTTTCTGTGGGTTGTGCTCGTAAACTTCGTCTTGCTTTGCTTTTTGGTGACATTCTCTTGGTTTGTTAACTATTAGTTGTGGGGTTATTTATGAAAAGGTTACTATTGCTTTAAGTTATAGCGCTACTTTAATTTTGGTACAAATGTTCATTATTATAATTCAAGTTTGAAATAAGATTTTTGTTTTTGTTTTGAGGAGAGTGTTAGTATGATATAATAGCCTATAAATATAAAATATATGACCTTTACAAGTATAATGCTAGGAGAATCAGGATTTTTTAAAATCTTGTTTTTACTCTCCTTGTTGGTCAGGGAACTGGTTCTCGCTTTGTTGTTGATCTTTTGTCGTTCAAGTTGACTGTGGCAGTTTTGTACTTGATATTTATCAAACAAATCTTTTTTCCCCTTACATATCAGACATATAATGCCTTGGACGGAATATGCTATAACTTCTATGATTTTTATGTGAGGCAGCGTGGTGAAATCAGGCGTTCGTTCAAACAGTCAGAATCAAAGTGAAGAAACTGGCATTTTTCCGCAGGTTTGTGAATTTTTATAGGATTTTTGTTTTTTGACTTAACTCCTTTCATGCCCTCTAAAGAACACATTTCTGTGTGAATTTTACTGAAAAACGTTGATTAAAGGCTCAGAAAAATGTAAATGTTCAGTTTCCTGGGACTCTCCAGCCAAGGAAATAACTTATCTAAAACCAAGTGACCCCACCTCCTTCATTCACTTTTATCTCGGCTTGTATTCAAGATATATGGATATTTTTTCCCTCGAAAGCAAAACAAATGAACAAGCTTTAAGTTTAAGATGATACCCATAACTGTACATACCCGACACTTGACGAGAGCCTGATTCCACCTCGTCATGACACAATGTTCTGTGGGATATGACGACAGGCATTAACTTTTAGTTGTTTCCTTTTTTTTTCTTTTCTAATAGTGGTATTGCTGCTCTTTTTCCATTTTGTAATAATGAACATGTTAAAAAGATGGGTAGTGGCGTTGGTGGCTTAACCACTCGTAACCGCGTACAGTAGTGGGTTCGAGAATCCCGTCTCGGACCTGTGGTTGTGTCCTTGGGAAAGGCCTTGTTCATGAATTTTCCTCACTTCACCCAGGTAGGAATGGGTACCCAGCTATAGACAGTGAAAGGTCTGTCAGTTTTTTATTGTTTGAGCCCTTTATCAGCTGCTTGCACTGTTTGCTTTCCGGGAAGCTGAGAATGTTTCTGAGTGTTCTATGGTCTGCTGGGGTAATAATGTAGTGTGTAAAGCGCATAGAGCCTGCTGTAGAGCGGGGATATGCGCTATACAAATGCTATTTATCAATATTAAAACTTTTGTTTTGCTGCAAAAATGTATGCTAAAGGGTAAAGAGATCCAAAGTACTTATCTTATCGTCTTTGCCCATGTGGGATAATATGATGCCGCAGTTCTATCTTTTGCCAACTTTTTATCCCGTTGCCCTGTCCTGTCAACTGTAGGAAAAACTTTGACCGCCACACGGGTCTGTGGGAGATCCAATAGAAAGATGGAAAGGGAGAGGGAGCCATCTGGTCAGATCTCTTTGCACACGTTATATCTCTAACTCTAACAGTTTGATGACTTCTGCTTTTTATTCTTCATCGATACTATGCACTGTCAATTTTTACTACTTTCAGGGTTGTCGCTGAGATGAACACTTATTTCTTATATTATGGGGGGGGGGGAGGGTGCAATACTGATATGTTACTCTAGTCAGTGTAAAAACATAAGAGTCTGTGTCTTTGAAATCGGAATGTGGGTGCCTGAAGGCAAGGGAGCTTTACGAAGTAGGAAAAATGGTCATGTACGTAAAAATCAACTGCACTGCAGGTTGAAAATCCAGCAGGCGACTGACTGCCTCTGACTCTGATATCTAGGAGGGGAATATGAAGTAGCAGAAAAAATACTGGTATTTCGACCTGGGATCCTATAATACAGTTTGTGCCGTTCTGTTCACTGCTTGGATGTTAATTGGTGGTAGTCTCTCCCTATACCGTAAGGTATATAACGTGGAGAATGGTTGATGCCACGCTTGTTGTCTGTCCCTAGCCACTTTCTCTAATTTCGACACATCTAGGCCCTGGGTGACTGCCTCATCTCTTGTTGTGCCTCTATAGTTTCCATTTGGTATTCCCCGCTTTTTCTTTCCAGTTGGTTTCTAATGTCTGTCTGATAGGGCATTCTCATTTTGTGGATGTTAATTGTCCGTTCTGAAATGGCCAGCTGTTTGTTCACATGTTTGCAATTCAATTTAATAAATTAATGGTGCTTTATTCTTCAGTTCATCCGTATAACTACTATTTGAAGGTACTGTATAATCCATTTGATTAATATATTTCAATTTAATAACAAAAGTTGATTGAAGAAAGTTGCTATTAATGCTATAGATCTATTTTTTTTTTTATTACTGAGGTGTTGGGTTGAACAACCCATTGTTAACAGGACCATGCAATGGGGTATGCACTCATTCAGTTTAGACTCTTCTTCTTCTTCTTCTTCTTCTTCTTCTTCTTCTTCTTCTTCTTCTTCTTCTTCTTCTTCTTCTTCTTCTTCTTCTTCTTCTTCTTCTTCGTCTTCTTATTCTACTTTTGCTTCTTCTGCTTCTTCTTCTTCTGCTTCTTTTTCTTCTTCTTCTTCTTCTTCTTCTTCTTCTTCTTCTTCTTCTTCTTCTTCTTCTCATTATCAATATTTGTATTATGATAATTATTAGCATTATTTATTTATTATTTATTTATTTATTTATTTATTTATTATTTAATTGATGGTTTGTTTTTTTCTTAATTATCATTAATACTGCCCTTAATCCATAAACGTGTTATCGATAAAAATAGACAGTAACATAAATGATGACACTATAAGGGGGGGGGGGGGTGTGATGAGAAGGGATGGGGGGAGGGGGGGAGGCAATTACAGCGAATTATAGACGATTTCCAGGTTGAGAACCATAGATATGGGGTACATAGAAGCGGAACCAATAAATTGGCAAAAAGATATTATTAATCCGAATACAGGAAAAAGAGGCTAAAACAGCACCTGGACATGGATGGCTGGTGCCTCTATAAATAAATCATTGATGGTCTGACTGCGGGAGTGATTTCAAGTTCTGTTCCCTCGTATTGTCTCCTCCATGTGCACTGTTTGCCCTGCCCCTGTCTTGCCCTCCACTTACCTCACGGACCTGATGAGACTACGTGTGTGTTGCGGAGAAAGTCCCATACATCTCACTTTAACAAATGATTATTTGTATCGCATGGTAGAAAAGTTATAACAACGACAGTGCACTGTTTTACTTTGATTTATGCCTACGTATTATAGTCATAGACGTGACGCAATTGCCTATGTCTTTTTTGTCCTCCCTTCAGATTTTTATGTCTTTTTTTTTGGTCCTACATTCAGATTTTGGGTTTTTGATGGTAAATATGCCAGTTTCTAGTTTTGTTCCCTCAATATAGTAGGCAGGCTTTTGTTTTTTCATGGACTGAGTAAAATCCAAATACTTTAACTGAGGCTTTCTCAGTACACAAGTTTAAGTCATGGAAGAACACTTTTTAATACTTTGCTGTCACCCAGCCAGCAGTACAAAATACCCCCCACCTTGTCATGCACCCAGCCAGGAGAGTGACTGCAACGGACTTCTCAGGCCTGGGCCAGGTGACCGGAAGGGATAATTATCACCGTCGCATTATTGCGGCAAGTGACCGCAAAGTGTTAGAAAGTTTATTTTTTTAATATAGTAAGTGACTTGGGTATTTGTGTTTTATGACAACAACAGTGATGATTACAGATTAGCAAAATGTCTCTATGGAAGGTATTGTGTTTTCAGCATTGCCAGAGTTGCCTTTGAAAATATTAAAAGCTGCTGTAGTTTTCAGTATGATGAAATAAATGTTTGTGAAATTAATGTATGTACATGTACGCATATTGTATAAAACATGTACACATATTGTATAAAACTTTTTTGGAGGAGATATATTTCTTGAACAAACACAGAATATGAAGATGACCCACACTCGTGTGTATGTGTATATATAGATCTATGTACTTTTTCATTTTTGTTTTTTTAACAACGGAATCTCAGGTGTGAAGCCCGAATGTGACAATGTTCTTTTTAGTTTATCAACTTGGCACACCATGCCTGTCTTGATTAAAAAATTTCTATCTGCGAAAGAAGAATGACCATCAAATACTGGTCAACGGTCGACAAATATTTGTGAGGCAGCGTGGTGGAATCAGGCTCTCGTCAAAATAAACACAGTGAAGAAACATGCATTTTTCTGCAGGTTTGTGAATTTTTATCAAATTTTTGTTTTATGGCTCAACACCTTTCATGCAATTTAAAGAACTCATTCATGTGTGGATTTTTCTGAAAACTGTTGATTAAAGGCGCAAAAAAATGAACATTTTCAGCTACCGCGGACTCCTAAGCTAAGGAAATAACAAATCTTTGGCGGCCATTTTCTCACAAATTTTACGTCTGAAAACAGGTGACCCCCACCTCCTTCTTTCGCAAATATCTCGACTTGTATTCAAGATAAATAGATATTTTTTCACCCAAATAAAGACAAGTTAACAGGCTTTAAGATGATACCAATAACTCTACATGCCCAAAAATTGACGAGCGCCTGATTCCACTGTGCCATGACACGTTTGTGTTGTGAATTAATGTCAGGTGGGCAGAGCTGCCAGTTTCTTTTTTGATGACATTTAATATGCTTTAATGTGTTTTAACACTTTTCCATCACATCTCGTCAATCGGCAACAAAGTCGAACTTCTGCGTGGGTGGTTGGCGGGTGCTCTGGTGTGGTTTGCTTCTTCTTTCCTGTCAAACATCTATCGTCCTTATCTCCCCTTCTTCTTTTTTATGTTTGTTACTCTCTTGTAACAGCTCTAATCTTCTGGCGCTCATATGACCTTGTGCAGTTGCGAGCGCCGTAAAACTTCTACTAAAACTAAACGAACTTCTGCTCCTGTCACAACACACTGATCAGCGATGTTTTCCACCCAATTTCTTTGGATTTCCCCCAAAAGGCCTGTGATGGCGAGAGTTTTTACTCTATGATGAGCCTTGTGATGGCAAAGTGTTGAAAAAGTTCTATAAATATCCCTGTATGTTAAGGCCTGTAAAACAGTAAGACACACCTGCACTCCTTCCTCGATTCCAAATATACTGACCGTGTCGCTCCTTTGAAGCATTTATATATATATATATATATTAATATACACATATATATATATATATATATATATATATATATATATATATATATATATATATAGATATATATATATATATATATATATATATATATATATATATATATATATATATATATATATATATATATATATATATATATATATATATATAGATAGATAGATAGATAGATATATATATATATATATATATATATATATATATATATATATATATAGATAGATAGATAGATAGATAGATATTAATATATATATATATATATATATATATATATATATAGAGAGAGAGAGAGAGAGAGAGAGAGAGAGAGAGAGAGAGAGAGAGATATATAATATATATATATAGATAGATACATATATAGATATATAGATATATATATAGATATAGATATATATATATATATATGTATCTATACATATATCTATATATATCTATATATATATATCTGTCTATCTCTCTCTCTCTCTCTCTCTCTCTCTATATATATATATATATATATATATATCTATATCTAGGAGGTCAAGATCTGAGGGAAGAGAAGTTATACTTGGGCAATCTACTTCCTCCAAAGTCTACCGTCCGGACTACGCTGCATGTATCATGCACAGTGCTTTAAGATCGTCTGTCAAGACACAAAAGGCCATCAGTGGTCAATGTCTATGTTTATGTACCTAATGTTACTTGTTATTTACCGTGCAGCCTCTCTATAAAAACATCGTCGGGATCAGACAAAATATCGTGCCACTGACTGAAGTGTCTTTAGGCCATTCCCAAAGGGGGGAACATTTCTCGTTCAAGCATAGTAGAATTGTAAATGGGCTGACTCATGTCACGCTCATAACTGTGCCTGATCTACAACAGGGAACTGCTGCTTTTTCTTTCCTGATCCTTATTACTATTGTCATTTTCCTCTACTTCTTTTGTATGTTTGTCACTCCCTTGTGACCTGCTATTTTGGGGTGCCTTGATAGTCGAAGCAGACCTTGTGCTGTTGAAGCTAAACTAAAGAGGTGAGCAGTCTAAGTCTGATTCCTTGTAAAGACTTATATGTTGACACCTACCCCTTGGCGCTTATATGACCTTATGCAGTTGCGAGCGCCATAAAACCCTCTACTATAAAAAAAAATATATATTAAAAAATCGTTAATGAGAGTTGTCATTACAGAGAAGCAACCAAGATATGATAGATATATATATATATATATATATATATATATATATATATATATATATATATATATATATATATATATATATATATGCAGTATAACACGGAGAGCTTGAATTCGTCGGGACCGGCCTTGGTAGTTTGAGGGATCTGTCTTACAAAGAGATAAGAGAAGGAAAAAAAAAAAACGGGACGCGGGCACAATTTGATGGATGCGTGATTTCGAGTCTTCTGTGTTGGACCTATCCGTGATATACTGTATAAGGAAAAAATGGGGACCTGGAGACCATGTCACTATACTGAGGGTGTCGTTACATCGAAGGTCGCAATAGAGAGGCTGCACTGTATATTGTATATGATGATGAGTTGAGTAAGTCTGGTTATATCGTGCTGTATTTGTGTGATGGAGTCTGTGCCACTTTGAAACTTTGTTCAGTGATGATGATGACGATTGTGTGGTTACTGTTGTATAGATGGGAATAATGTGGAAAATAAAGTTTGGGTAACTATGTTGTTATACCGTGGACTTTTGTTTACTTTTTTTCAAATGAATGATCGGAATTAATGAACGTGGAATGCAGTGAGTGAGTGTCATCTCAGTTTCTGTATACATATAAGTTATTTATAAGTATAAGATAATTTGATGGAGCAGGGTAAATACATTCGGGTGGTTGGCGGGTGCTCTGGTGTGGTTTGCTCCTTCATTCTCATCAAAATCAAACATCTATCGTCCTTATCCCTCCTCCTTTTTTTGTATGTTACTCTTCAGTAACACCTCTAGTCTTTATGACCTGTTTGTGTTGAAAGTGCTGTGAAATGAGTCAAAGGTAGGCCTACTTGGGCTATCGGAGATACAGTGGAGTCGGCTAAAACAGAATTCTGCGCCAGTACAGACACTTTTTAAAACTAAAATAGAAGAAGAAAAAACAAATTGTGGATTTTCTTTTCGTTTGATCTGCTGCTGTTTTCGGATTAACAGTGTTCACTTTAAGTGGAATTCACTGCAAAAAAAACCCCAACAACCCCGAACAAAACAAAAAGCCAATCTTGTAGTAATATCTGTTTATTTTAAAAATTCATCTTCCACAAATAGAATGAAAAAAACAGGGCAAAAGTCATGGTAAGTATTCAAAGTCAAAGCAATGGGCAACTTTTCTAATGGGTACGCACTTAATAGCTACAGGTTCTGCCATAGAAATGTTATTAGAAGTCAGAATTCTAAACACAAGGCTTTGCTGAAGTGATGAAAATTAACCCTATCCGTATGTCGTGTTTTATTATTGTATCCATACGACGTGGGGAACTTTGTGGTAGAAGTATTCTAAAATGTGAAGAATACAACCGCGGGGGTACAAAATGACCCTAGGGCGCACGGATAGGGTTAAAGATAAATTTTTAAAAATTCAATTTGTAATATTCGTTTAATGTTTTAGATTTAAAAGGGGAACTGAGGCAATAACATTTCGTTAAGATGTTGGTGTTCTACATAGCCCCGAAATAAAACACTTTAGATCACTCACAAAGTAAACTGTCAATTCTTTGCCATGCCATACTGACAGGCCAAAGGGCTAGACCCTAAATGGACGCTGAATCAGAAAAGTAAAGTGTTACAACTTACAAAGTCAGCTATTTCGACCTTGCGCATCAACGATGCCATCAATACCCAAACCAAGCAGAGAGAGAGAGACATCACAACGAACAGAGGAAAACAATTTGTATAAAAAACTTATCTCTTCTTCTTGTAGGAACGGAACTAAATCTCTTGGCGTGTCTGATGGCTCCACCACAGACCCTGGCACTGGTATAACATGCAGGTCATCATAATGCTGGTAAAAGTAACAACAAACACCCACGTTTATTATCACAGCGACTTGTGGGACTTGTGGAATTCTCTGGTAAGGAGGATGAATCGTTGAACAAAAAGTAGGAAAGGCCATTCAGAATTTAGAAATAAATACTTTCACTTTTACAGAGAAAAACAATCAGGTCTGTAGTGCACACAGCGTAACAACAACAGATGTATGAACACACACTCTTCTAGCACAAGAATGTACATGATGATAAAATAGTACATAATTATTATCTTGCACCTACACAAAATAAAAGTAAAATATTAAGAGTAATAAGAGTCATCAAAGATGCCAGTGAGCAAATGAGTAAATTCTTCCGTGGCTAGGATTTTCAAAGAAAGCATTGGAATAAAAAATTGTTACTGTAAATATTAAATAAAAACAAGCAATTATAAGACTAAAACTAAAAAACAAGCAATAAAAGAAAAAAAAAAGGCAAGTATCATTGAAATAAGCTACATTAACATATCTCATGACAAAAACTACATTGCAACATCTAATTGTTGGCTACAAAAGAAAGAATAACGATATGTGAGAAACTTTCTGTATTTTCATCAACCCTCAGTTTCTTTCCATCAACAAAAAATGACTGCAACTCAACACTCAACAGATGGCCGACAAAACAAAAAACACAAGTGATGGTGTAGCGCAAAAGTAATAGTTTCCTTACAATTACAATCCTGAAGTACTGTACTCACTTCACAACCCCAAGAGCACAGACACGGCTCTACATGCTACACCACTGGAGAGAAAACTGTAGGGCAGCTTTGAGGATCTAGAGAGAACAGCACAGTTTGTGTGCACCACCGGACTGACTTTCTGACTGTCATCGATGTAAGGAAGAAGAGGAAGAAGAAGTAGAAGAACAAAAAGAAGAAGAGGAAGAGGAAGAGGAAGAAGAAAGAGTTTCCTATTGAACAGTGATTACTGGTCCCGGGATGAAATTTCACTGGTGCAAAAAAAAAAAAAGAAGACTTTTATTGATCGTTTGCGGTAAGAAAACCCCCCAAAACAAACCCGTTTCAAATAAATGGAAGTGAGAAAGTATATTTGTAAATGGAAAAAAATAGCATCAACAGAGTGAAAATTGCCAGTACCGCTGGTCAGCTCTGTGAGGCAGTACAACATGCGTGACAACAATCAGTAGAACACGGGTCACAACAATTCCAAAACTTTTCATTAAGAATTAATACACTACATTATGCCAAAGAAACAACATAATATATACATTTTCCATGGTTGAAAAATGAATCCGATATTATGAAAATTTTTATTACAAATATTACATGTAATTCTCAAAGGTACAGTCCATTCTTAAACATTAAAAAAAATAAGTTGACTTGAAAAACCCTGTATTTCTTCCTCGTAGGTGGCACATTTCGGGCCATCTGTAGAAAATGAGAAGGTAGAACAAACAAAAATAGCTACAGCTGAGCTCTCCACGACTTACGACTTCCTGCTGGCTGAGCTTGCTGGTCGCGACTGCTGCGTCTGCGGCATGTAGGTCGTGGTTATGTGGGTCATGACCACCAGGGCGGAGGCAGCCACGCAGCCCATGCAGACGTACCAGAGCAGCCAGTGGATGTTGTTGACCGCCCAGTTGGACTGGAGCCCCAGCACGAAGGAGGCAGTGACCAGCGTGTAGGCAAACAGACCTGACGTGGCGTGGTACAGCTTGAGATCTGCCAGCTTCACCTGAAGTGAGAGAGATGGGACACACAAGGGGGAGTGAGACTACTGGGTCTCATCTCTTTTGTTTTAGTAAGTGTTTTAAGGCACTTGCAACTGCATAAGGTCATATGAGCGCCAGAAAATTAGATGTTACAAGAGAGTAACAACCAAAAAAGAAGAAGGGGAGATAAGGATGACAGAAATTTGACAGGAAAGAAGTACAAACCACATCAGAGCACCCGCCAACTACCCACTTTCATCTCTTTCAAAACTAATACAATCACCAAAATGCCAGTGTGGAGAGGTGGACCTAACTGTAGAACACATCCTTCAGCACTGCAGGACACACAGGGCCCTGAGACGGGAAACGTGGCCAACCCCACTGACACTACAGGAGAAGCTATACGGGCCGACGGATGAACTGAGCAGGACGGCCAAATTTACGACAGATACCGGACTTCAAGTGTGATGTGATCGAGAAGAAGACGAAATCTCTTTCAACATTCCAGGGAAGCCAAATCTCTGTTTGTTCAGGCTTTTTCCGGTTTTTTTTTCACACACTTGCAAAGGAAAGGGGAGAGGTAAGAGAGACGTTTTTGTTTTGCTCATTGAAAAACTTTACAAGGTTCGTATCCGTTTTAGGTGAGATGACATGCTCCACTCATTTTCAGTTTAAAAAAAAATCATTCGGCATCCCTGAACATTCTTACGCTAAGGTTGGAAAAGTACATCATCAATGCTGATAGACATCAGAAATATCAATTGAACTATCAAGAAAGTTCTTCTTTTGAAAAATTATTTTATGAATCATATAAATTTGAAATGAATTATTACTATTATGACAATCAGTAACAAGGTCACTGGCAGCTGTGACGCTGCAATTAAGTGCTTTGCAGCTGCAAGCAGGAAGACCCGAGTTCTATTCCCGAGCGGGGAGAATTTTTATTGAGCATCTCAATCTTTCTGCTGGGATGTTGTATCCCTCTCAGAATAGATTGGCCTTGACAGACAGTTGAAGCCAGCCCCCTAAATAATCGAAATTGTATTGATGGGGGTATAAAAAACGCTTATACAGTTGACTCCCTTAAGTTGATCTTTGGTTAAGTTGATCTTTTTCTCGGGTCCCAGTACCTCTTCTTCTTGACAGTTCTCAACGGTGAAGTTGAACTACGGATGAGTTGTTGAACTACGGTGAAGTTGAACTACGGATGAGTTGATCTAATTTTCATTCACCCGACGACATCAACTCATCCGTTACAATCGAGCGTATTTACTCGGTCAACTCCTGAGCTTTTGTCTCACCTTGATAAATCCCCCGACATACTTGTAGTACTTGGCCAGAGCGCCCCCGCACGACTGGGCGCAGCAGTAGGCCATGGTAATGATGCCGATCAGGCCGTGCCACGTGGTGAAGTGATCCTTTCCCGCTCTGTCTTTGTTCACATAGATGGCAGCCACTCCTGATCACGAAAGAAAAAAAACAACAACCGAAAAAGGGTCTTGATTTATAGAAATAGAATCATGAAATCTCACCAAAAACTATTTTTGTTCATGATAAAACTTGAAAATTCTCATCTCTTGACCTTAATGTTAAGAGATTTACAGAAGCCTCACAAAAACTCATTTCTGTAGATTATGAAACTCTGAAATCATAATAATAAATAATAATAATAATAAATTACACTTTTATTTGTCCCAGAAGGGCACTTTGTTTTACAATGGCAAACATACATACATAAATACATAATTATAAATACGTACATACGTAAATACATACATACATAAATACACACTATTACACAAATACAGAACAGTTTACAAACAATGCCACTGTCGGTTGCCACTGTGCAGCGCCCTGTAATTTGAGCTAGGGTTGTCGTGTCTTGCTCAAGGACACACTCCAGTGACCACCCATCTGATCCCCGTGTCACCGACACTTGCTTGACATTGCTTGAGTCAAAACTCACTACTCCCTTAGCCACTGGAGCCCCCTTTTGATCCAAAGAAATTCTGAGAAGAAAAGGAGACTTGCTTCCACAGGCCCAAGATAAGACAAGGGCAAACTCCAGAACAAATGTGGTCGTCCATCCCAACAAGATGTGACGAGAAAAAGGGGGAAAAAATTGGAAATATATGGCCAGAAATAATAACGACACTTAAACAACCCCATATCATTCAATATGTGTCACGACGTGGTGGATTATGGGTATCATGTTAAAGCCGGTTCACTTGCTTTGCTTTTGGTTTAAAAAAATATATCCATCTATGTTGAATAGAAGTTGTAATATTTGCGATTGAAGGAGGTTAGGGTGGCCTGGTTTCAGAGGTAAAACTAATGAGAAAATGGCCACCAAAGTTAGGTAACTTCCATTGCTAGAGCATTTAGAAATTGAAATTTACATTTTTTTTGTGTGTGTCTTTAATCAATGTTTTTCAGTAAAATCTACACAGAAATGTGTTTTTAATGGGCATAAAAGGTGTCGGGCCCCCCCCAAAAAAGAAAATGAGAAAAAAATTGCCCATTTCTTTGATTTCATTACGTTGACGAGCATCTGATTTCACCACTAAGCCTCACATATTCCATCTTCGTTAAAAAGACCGAATTCGAAATTAATTTGTAAAAATGTAAAAGGCGTTTAATGCTTCAAACAAGCATTTTAAAAAAAAGTAAACGCTTACCTTAATGAATGTCATATCATGGGAGCAAGAAATGCCAGCTTCTGAGGCAGGTGTAGTGATTATTATTATGGTGCACACTAGTGCTGGGCGGCGAGGTTCCCTATTCTTGCAAGCTAGGAATCCTAGGAATCAACTCCGAACCCAATTACTAACTTTCTAATGATGTGATTTTTTTTCGATGATTACCCGGTTGGCTCCGGACATCTTCGGGATTTTGGATGGCCTTGATTTTGGAACACTATAAAGCATCAACTTTTATTTTTCAAAAATAAATTCCAAAAAAAAAGAGAAGATTTTTAATAATTAAGGTAACTGGTGACCGTTGGTTTACATAAAAAGGAGTCGACACTTTTCTTCCGTAGCATCAATCGTGGGAACCGGTTCCGGTTTCGATTCTTCGCCCAGCTCCAGTGCACACGTTACAAGCCAAAAAAGTAAGTCTGATCTACACATGGGATCCATTGAGTATTTTCATCCTTCTGCACTGACGTATCACACTCATTTCTGACAATGAGTACTGATAATTTCTGACAATGAGTGTACTGTTAATTTCTGACAATGACTGCTGTTAATTCTTGACAATGAGTACTCTGACAATCAGTATGAGTACTGTTAATTTCTGACAATGAGAGTACTGTTAATTTCTGACAATAAGTATGAGTACTGTTAATTTCTGACAATGAGAGTACTGTTAATTTCTGACAATAAGTATGAGTACTGTTAACTTCTGACAATGAGTGTACTGTTAATTTCTGACAATCAGTGTATTGTTAATTTCTGACAATCAGTACTGTTAATTTCTGACAATGAGTGTACTGTTAATTTCTGACAATCAGTGTATTGTTAATTTCTGACAATGAGTCAATGAGTGTACTGTTAATTTCTGAAAAAGAGAACCGCTACAGTTAATTTCTGACAGTGGGTACTATTAACTTCTGACAATGAGTAGGCCTACTATTAACTTCTGACAATGAGTACTGTTAATTTCTGACAATGAGTACTGTTAATACGCTGTCAATTGATAAAAGCAAGAATATTTTTTTCTTGTAATGTATCAAGAAGAATTTGAACTTTCCAAATCTCATGTCACATGTAACTGAAATTTGTCAACTGCCTGTTTCACGAATTGGAAACAGTATCATCTGATAAAACTATATTGCAACAGCACTCTTCCTGCTGAGAACTGAACACACACATGGCAAAATGTAAAAGATACCAATCCAGGTCAATAACCCTAGAACAATACAACTGTGACATCATTACAAATCAACCCCAATAAACTATGGGCAGGTGTGGAGAAACACCATCTGTCATCACTGTCTCTTCTTCTTTTTTTCTTTTTGTCTATTACTCTCTAGAAACACCTCTACTCTTCGGCGCTTATAAGACATATAAATA